CAGGTGACTTTATTTGTGGCATTACCCCCTGCACAGACAGCCCAACTCTTGCTACAGCCTGTAGGAGTGGCAGTACCCACAAGCCTTTAAAAACCTGCTGTCACCAGAACAGATGGCTACAGAGCCAAAGAGGGTGAGTTCAGAGGGAAATATGTTGTTACAGACATTTCAATTGGCTTCCACTGAGCTCACATCACCCCAGCATCCCTTGGACTGCTGTGGCTCCCTGTAACTGCTTCACAGCAAAGGCATTTTCCCGGCTGCAAACCTCCCTGGGACGTGGCCAGGCTCTGCCACCCATCCCTCGGGGTGGAAGCAGCCGTGGCCCTTGGTCCTTTCTCCCTGCTCACCAAAAGGTGCCAGCAAAGAGCTTTGGTTCCTCGGGCTCAGCTGCCAGCACTGCACACCCGATAACTGATTTTTCTTGAACGACCTGATTTTGGCATATTCCCCAGTGGGACCGGAGTGCAGAGTGAAGTCTTATTCTGCTGATCTGGATAATGTCATCAGATGGAGACAAATGATTTTTAAGCAGGCGTTTCTGCTAATTTCAGTGGTGAATTTTTCCAATTAAAAAAAAAAAAAAGAAAGAAAAAAGAATAAATCCCATGTGTGCCTGTGCAGGAGTGTGGTCTATAATATTTAAATTGCTATATCCCAAAGGCTGAGTACAATGGAGAAATCAACAATTCAGGAAATAGGGAGTGTTGATTTGAGTTGGCCTTGAAGAAATATATTCTGTAAAATCTTTTAAGGCAAGGGAAAGAGGCAAGATACTTCTATGGAGTCTTCTGAGTTCTAAAACCTGTGAGATTAACTGAATTTACAGGAGGAATGGGATGGCTGGATAAAAAGGAAGGAGATGGGAGTGCTTAGGTGATGGTAAGGAATCCAGGCTGTGTGTTTGGGAGAGAAGTGGGGTGATTATTAAGGAACAACAACAAAATTTCAAGGGCATTTGGCCATTAAAGCTGCAGGGAAATCTGCAGAGGAACATTATGGATGTGCCAGGGCACTGTGGGGCCTCACACACAATTTGCTGCAGGCACACACCTGAGGGATTCAATAATTCAGCATAAAATTAACAAGACTTTCATGTGTTGAGCAGAAACCTGTGTGTTCAACCTGTCCTTCCCTCCCGCCCCAGGAAACCCTCTGTCTGGATGGCAGCTGGGTAGTTTTCTGATCACTAATAAATTCTTCAAAAGGATTTGAAAGCAAGCTCACTAGAGCCCAGGGATCAGGTTGGTTCAGTGGGGCTGGAGACAGAGTAAAATTACAGTGACATCTAGTGATCACTAATATTTCACAAAGGTGCTACCAGTGGAAAAAGTAAACCTGTATGTATTATTAGTTAGCATTTTAAACACATAACACAAAACCCCAGATCATTAATGGAGGCCAGGGAAAGAGGTGGGAAACAAATGAGAGTAGATTATGTGAATTAAAGTGCTTCAGGGGCTGACAGAGAGCAAAGTGCTGGTGCTGTTGAAGGGCTGGGGGTGGATTTCCACAGGGATCTTTCCTAGGTCTGCATTTCTCACTGTTTCAGCAGAGTTTGCTGATGGTACTAAATTGCAGCACATTCATATAAAAGAAACTCGACGTTTTGGAGACTGGGAATAGAACTGATAAAATGATGTGCAGTGTTGAAAGTATGTGCTAGTCCCCAGGGAGGGAAGAGCAGAATTAACCCTGTTCCAAGGCTGGAATATGTGGTGTGGCAGCAGCTCTGCCTCAGCACTGGACAGACACTAAGGAAAAAGCAAATAAAGAGGGAATGCCAGCTGGGCATCAGAACTATGATTCAGGTTTGCATCTTGAACCAAAGTGAGATTTGGGTTTGTACTTGGCAGCATTAGGAACTAACTGGTTTTGTGATGTTGATTGACTGTTTTTTACTCCAGGTCACTGATCGGCTCCTGACAGTTTAAAAAAAAAAAAAAAGGATTTTTCTTCAGGTTCTGAGTCTGCCCACTTGGCCAGGCCGGGCTTCACTTCTGCTGTCCTGGCCAAGTACCCTTAGGTATGAAAAATGGTACATTAATGAGCAAAGGATTAAGAGAAACTCTTTCTCCGAGGAGGATGGGGCAGGGCATTGCCTATTTACGTCTTCATTGTGCAGAGTGAAGAAAACTGAATCAGAAGTGTTAGCTGGAGTAACAACAGAGAGAGAGAACTGATGCAGTTGGTGAATTGATTTTGCAGATTTAAACCGGGTATCTTCGTGGCCACATAAATATGCAGGCAAATTTTCCTGTGATGAAACATTCAGGAGCTGCTTTGACAAAAGTTGAGAAGGAAGCTCTCAGCCAATTTCCAAGCCCTTCCCTTGAGCCCCCAGCAGCCAGGCAGGTTTAGTCTCTCAATTATTAGCTGAGAGCAGAATATACATTCCCACCGTCTGATTTCAGATGCCGCTGGAGAATTTCCCTCGGATAGATGCATAAGGGGAGAGACAGATCCAGGCACATCAGATGCTATGGCTGCCTCTGACTGTTGTGAGCAATAACCACAGAATGGGAGTTTATTAAAAATAGTAGCCCAAATTAACTACTGGGTTTCTATGACTAGGTATGCAATTTTCTGCAGGGAAAAAATGTGTAGTGGGACTTCAGGTGCTGCATTTCAGTAAAGATTTTGATGCAACACTGTCTGGAAAATTATTAGCTATGCTGGCATAGACAGGAATTAGAAGAATAATTGCAAATTGAGTAAGGACTTGGCAAAGACAGATGGGGGGACTGGTGATTGCTTTGGTGAGGTTGTTTAGTGCTTTCGTGGGTGATGAAGGGGACAGGGTTCACTTGCTGAAGGATTTACAGACCTGCTCGCCCCATCTTCCCTGCAGGGCTGGGGAGCACCTGGTGCCCCCCATGAAAGCTGGAAAGTGAGGAAAAAGGACATTGCAGCTGCTTTGTCGAGTCCTGTTACATCCGGGAAATTTCCCAAAGGGTTTGCACAGCTCTGATATTTCAGCAGAAAGCTTTCCTGAGTTGAAGGTACTGTCCTCCACCAGCATCCCGGGTTCAGGGTCCCAGACTCCAGCCCCAGTGACAGCACTGTATTTGTCATCATCACATTTGCTCTGGCCCAGGGGGATGTGATCTGTGCTGGGAGGAGCTGTGCTGGAACACGAGGTGCAGCGCCTGGCGCCGGCCGGGCTCCCAGCACAACTGCTGAGAAAGCAATTAAAAATAACATCACTGTGAATTGACAAATCTACTGTTGGGTTTGGTCTCAGAGGGACTTCACGGTGTGTGGCTGAACTGTAGGTTTTTCTCCATGACAAGTCTATTTATTTTAAATAGAGGAACAGAAGAGTTGTGTCTCCAGATGCTTGAAAAGCAAGTGGTTACTTTTCAAGGACTATTGGACCAGAATTTCATACTACAACTTCTATTAAATAAAGGTGTGGAAGGTGGATGACAATATTCCAGTATGACAGCATCCTCAGCATCTGCCAATGAGGAAACATTGACCTGGGTGCAGCATCTATTTGCAATGGTTTGATGAGGAAAAGAAAGTACCATTGCCATTGCACAGAAATTACTTGCCTTTTACCTTATGGGATGAAAATGCCCAGGGTTGATGTCAATTTAATCAAGTTCATCATTTCACAGCAAAGACCATTCACTAGTTCATATGATCAAGGACCAAATTGCTCCTTGCTAGAAAAAAAAGTAATAATATTGTGGGTAACGTTTGAGTCAGCACAGCAGGTGTGAAGCTGTTTTTTTGGGAAAGGGCTGCTTTTTGGCATAGCTTGATTCATGGAAGATGATTAGATTCAGCAACTTGAAATTTTCTTTTTAAAAGGTTCACTCAGCTCCCAGCCAAGCGATGCAGAAGTGGATGTGATTTGAGATCCCACCAGCTATGACAATTTACCTGGAATTTCCTTCCCCGCTCTGCAATCCCCGCACTGACCTAATCTAAACAACTTTGCTTCCCAGCTTTTGGTCCTTCCCAAAGCCTTGGAGGGCTGCATTCCTCCTTCCATCCCTCCTTGGATGCCGCAGTGTGCAGGCTACCAGCCAGCAAATCCACAGGTGATTCTTCCCAACTCCAATTGCTCCCTTCCTGCTCCAGGTGTGAATAGTCCATCTCTCTTCTTTCCCATACACTATACGTGGTGCACAGTAATTTGTGCTGTACATACCAGCTGTGGACATACCAGGGAGGCAGAAAGAAACATGTGGAAAGTGTATTTACATGTGCAGTGCCACTTGGAAGTCACACCTGTGTCCCCCATGAGCACATTGCAGGGAGGAAAGCCAAAAAAATCCCAATAAAGGTAAGTCTGGGGAAGTGTTTTGAATCCAGAGCATCTCTTCTTTCTTTTCCCCAGTTGCACTCCAAAGTCAGCAGCGGAGTGGCAGCAATACATTGTCATCACAAACATATATTATTTCTGTGATGCATGTTAGTACATTGTAATGAAAATGTGTTTTCCAAAGGCACAGTTGCTTTTTTCCCCTTTGCTGTCACTGTAACGTTCTGTTTCCCACTCTTCACTGAGATAAAAGGTTTCCCTCCCACCTACCTCCAAAAAAAAAAAAAAAATAAATCTGAGTAATGGGAATGACAGAACTCGTGTAATTGTTCCTGCTTTGTATGCTTCCAGGCTGATTGCCTGAATTATGACTGATCCAAATTCCCACTGAACTCCATGAGAGTCTTTGCACTGAAAGAGCAGTTTGGTGTTAGAGGAGCTTTTTGGAGAAGCAGGCTCAAAGCCAGGAGAGTGGAAGCAGCATTGCTCTGTGGCTGTGGTAGAATGAGGACAATTTAACCCTGCTGAGGATGGGGCTTGGTACTTTCACTGCTCATAAATGGTGATTGTTGCTGCATTTAGGCACACGTAAAAATATTTTTTTTAAGCTTATAAATATATTAAAAAAATATATATACAATATATATCTATAGATCACCAAAGAAATTTCAGAGGCTGAGTGAACGCTCACCACCCCCTTGTATTCATACACATATAACTCTCCTTTGGTCGTTGTACCTTTTTATTATTAGGGAGTATTTTCCTCTTACAATATCTTGCAACAATAATTTTTTGGTGCCACAATATGGTGCACAGGCTGGAATACTCAGCCATTTCTGGGCCTGACAGTGACGGAGACTGTTGACTTGCAAACCTTCTTTGTTTGGCAGCTTATACCTAAACGGGTGGAATTATGTGTGCTCAGGTCACAGGCTATTTTATGTATTTGATTAGCAACTGTACAGGGTTTCTGCAGATGATCAGCTAGTTAATTGTAACAGGATGTCTTATGTTGACATGGTAATCATGATGAGTGCTGGACAATAAAGGTGAAAATGTGGTGAAATTAAAGAGTTTTAAACAGTATTTCCCCACAGAACATCTGCTTTATTTGCAGGCTGCCATGGATGCCCATTTTGCCCAGCTGCAGCTCTGTAACAGCACTTCAGCCTTAAATTTTTCCAAACTTCTAAATTTCCCTCCTTGGAAAATATCCAGAGTAGGTTTTTGACAGCATGATGGACAGTTCTCATTGGGATGTGTGAAATGAAACTGTCTCAGGGTCCAGCCAGCAATGCTGATGCCCCGTTACATATTACACTGTCATACTTTCATTAGGCAGTGACAATGTAACATGATGGTCATTATTAATTGGTTAATTATGGGAGCATATACACCACCTTGCTCTCCTTCTCTTCTTCATCCTCCTCATCAGTGCTCTCCAACACTTTGTCTCCAGCTGCCAGTAAAGCCATTGCTACCATGGCTTGGAGCCTCCCCAGCTGCTCGCCAGCTCTCACAGACCCAGCTACCAACACATTCAGAGAAACCAGCACAACTTTCCTTTCCAGCCTTCAGAACTTTCTCCTCAGCATTTTCATGGTTTGACAACACCACTGGCATCTTCCAGAAGAAGAGGCCCACGAGATGGAAACAGGAAGGGCACGTTGAGGGTGCGATTATTTCTTGTGAAATGGAAGCAACTTCTCCTTCTTCCTAACAGGCAGATGCTTTTCGCCAAAGCACTTACTTAAAATGTTCTATTTTTCCTTCAAAACTTATAGGAAATAAAGCCATTCATGCAGAAAAGCAGATTGTTCCCCTGTAATGGAATTTAACTGAATTACGACCATTTACATGTAAGACATTTATGCTGAAACCCTCAGGGATGGAAGGACCTGCAGACCAACATGGGCTCCTTGCTCTGCATTAACAGCCTCAGATTTGGCTTGTGTGAAAAACCTCATACTGGCAGGGCAAAATAAACAGAGGAGAAAACTTTTGACTGTCACCAGACCTCAGAAAGATGCCTCAGACAACGGAAACACTAAAATTGAGATTTGGTCTCTTCTCCACTGAGAAAAAGCCAAGAAATGTCCAGCACAGCTGCTCCCTTCTGTAGTTCCATGAGCAAAAGATGCTGCTGTAGTTGCAGACTCATCCTTTGGCCAGTGGGATGGACACGACCCAACTGCACGTGGTGGATGTTGCAGATACAAACACAGAAGGATATGTAGCCACAGCTATTTGATATCTAGAATTAAATAAGGAAGACGATGAATGTCAACCATGAAGGAGTTTTGCCATTATGAATATGTTTATAAGTGTGAATATTGTTTACCAGTCTTGGACTAGGTCAGCCTGCTTCTATTAAATTCCCTTTGGAAATTTAAGGCAAGAGCCAGCCACTTGGTTCAGGGTCTGCAATGTTTCCCTTTCCAAGAGCTCAGTAGGATCTGACCTTGTGTTAGAATTTAAGATTTCATACTAATTCCATTTAAAGCACCTCAATTGCTTTATTACTTTAGAAGTCTCTTTTTTTAATCTTCCCATCAAAACCAGATAGTTAAGTAGCATACCAGATAATTTGTATATTAAGAATTCTGGTTATAATATGACATAATCTAATATACCTTGCTTTGTTATACAGTGTGCCAGAGAGGTGATCATAGAAGGGAGCAGACCCTTGACTTTTACCCCAAATAGGGAATCTAATGCTTTTATTTCCCCAGGCAAATATTGCAGCATATAATACTCCATTAAAGCGGGGAGGGAGGGATATTTGATGAGGCCTCTCAGGAGAGTTAGGATGAGAGGAGGATTTCAGTATTAAATTAAATGCTGTCAGCAATTTAAATTTATAAATAAATAAAATTGAGTGCAATTACATTGAGGATCTTCTAGAAAAAGCTCAGGCAGCTTCAGCTCCTGCCACGGGAAATGACATCTCAGTGTCCAGGTGGACAGCAACGTCCTTTCCAAGGACATTCCCATTTGCACATTCTCTCTGTGGTCATGTTCTCCACAATCCAGCTGGCACAGTGCTGAAAGGCAAAGAGACTTCATCAAGGCTTTGGGATCAAGATCAGCCTTTCCTTCCCTTCAGTGCTCCCTGACAGAGCTTTGCCCTGAGATGGCCTTAGGCATGCCTGGGGAGAGTGGTTTTAATGGCCTGAGGACCAAAACGTGCAGGATGGGAAGAAAAAGCAGTGACATGCAGGAATAATGGCATAGGGTAGTGAGTTGGGATGAGGATTTGAAAGACATGGAAGAAAATGCTCAATATCATCTACGTTTTAGGGAGAGGAATTGAGAAAAGCTGAGTATCCAAGCACCGGGGGAAATGGGTTTCGCTCCTACTTGGTTAGAAAACACTTGTGACTTATGGGACCCCAAAATTAGCTGGAATAGATCCCCAGCCACTTCACCTGAGGGAGCACAGCACGTGTCCACATTTGGCACCATCTGTGGTCCCAAATGACTCTGGGAAGGAGCACAGCCAGGTCTGCTCACACACCACAGTGATGGGTATCAGGGCTTCTTTCAGTGCAGTTCCCACCAGCACTGGGGTCTGGCTGCTCAGCTTTTGGCTTCTCTCTGTCAAAACGAGGGGCTCCTAGATTGTGGAATGAGAAGAGATTACTCCATGTACAGCATGGAGTAATCATGCCCAAAGGAGCCTGACAAGGGCAGGTTATCCATTCTTCTCAGTGCCTCTTGGCTTGGGCATCAGTTCTTGCTTGTGGGGTCAAGCACTGGCCACTGATGGGATGATAAAGAGCCAATTTTTGATATGGGAGTGGAGTTGTGTAATGGGTTACCACAGATATCTCCGTTTCATCTGATTTATTGTGTCTGCTTCATCTGATTTATTATCTCTGCTAATTATCCCAATAAATCAGTGTTTGAATGGAACTTGCCATTGATACTAAATGTGAAGGACTGGCATTACTTTTGGAGAACTAACAGGAAAAAATCCAGCTGTGTATGTCAGAGAATGAATAAGACTTCTCTTGGCAAAATGCAAGCAAAATTGGTGGATACAAAAGCAACAAGAAACATGGTGAAAGGATGGATCTCCCTGATGGCACTTCATAGTCATCACTTTGCCAAAAACATCTTCGTCACCATGGCATCCACAGATGATACCTGTGGGCAAAGACCAAAGAAGAGACACTGTTGTGCCAGTGCTTCCTTATATTCTATGAAATTTACAGTAATCAAAAAATACATGTAAATCACAGAGAGCAAACAAAGCAAAGGCAGTGCTGAAGTTCTCGTGCTGCTGACTGGGGCAAGGGGGTTGCAGGTGCAAGTTACTGCACCGAAATCTTGCTGATTTTCAGAAACTGTGCAAAATCCTTCTCAGGTTGAACACGTGCAAGATTTATTCCCCATGTTTCCAAACAAACAGTAACCTAATACCTGGCAGAAAAAAAAAAAAAAGTGTCACCTGAGTGCATCCAGCAAGCTGCTGGAACAAAAACATACCCTTCTGGTGCCAGCCTGAGCTGGCCCCCACAGAGAGAAACAGGTGAAAATGTGAAGCAGCCTCTGCTCTAACTGCCAGGTTTGCACGTGTGTCGAGCCACTGCTGCTGGCTTTGCTGGCTCACTCCAGCTCTCACGCTCCACCCTTTGAGGTTGTTTGGTTTGGTTTTTTTTTTTTTTTTTTTTTTTTCAGCTTTTGCAATCTGACAGAGGCGGGTGAAAGCAAGTTCAGGGAAAAGACATTCCCCTGAAGAGCAGCTGGAGAGCAGTCCTAGCCCTGCCTGTGCTAGGCAGAGCACAGACAGCCACTCCACTTGCTTTAGCCTAGAATCACCCCCCCAAAATCCCGGAGGTATCCTGGTGCTTGAACTGATTTTCCAGGTAAGCCTTTATTTTAACCCCTGGATCTTTGTAGCTGAGCGCTGTCTAACCAGGAAGTTAAATCTGGCTGGAGACAAAACACAGCAGAAATGGTGTAAGGGCAGAGCAGGGAGAGCTCAGCTGCTCAGTGTCGTAGATACACTGGTTTATTTACTCAGCTGTCTGCCTGAAGCAACTCGGGCATTTGTGCCATCTGCCTTATTTCAGTTAAAACAGCCTTATAAACACCTGCAAGAGACGGACAGACAGACAGACAAAGCCCACAGCAACATTCTTCCTGCAAGTAAAAGTTACTACTTGTGTTCTGCCTGCTGTGGTAAAGGGAAAGGAAGGGAGAAAGAAAGGGAAAAACAGCTCATTGCTGGTGATGCTGGTTTAAAATTCACACGGCAACAACTAAGCTTATGCCAAGTTTTCAGAAATGAATAGAGTTGTAGTTCTGGGGCTTTGGGGAAAATCTTGGGAACAGGCAAGAGCTGAACAAAGAGAATGCCCTAAATCTGATGCTCTTAACCCCACAGTGGATCACTCAGGCCTGCTTGTAGGATGTTGAAACACGGGAGTGGCCATGATGCAACAGTTAAGAGTTCTGTAAGGCTTCTATCTTAAAGGCTGTGGGGAGGCAAACCAAAACACCCGTTGCTTCTGCCAGGGTATTGGACCAAATGGGAATTTTTAATTGCTTTGTTTATGTACTGAAAGTATCATTCCAAAATTCCCATACAATTTTGGCTGTGCCATTTTTCATCAGATCGAGAATATAATCCTGTTGGAACTGTTGGAGTTTATCTTATGATTTTATTTTGAGAGTTGTATACAGGAACTTAAGAACATTTTGGGACCTCTTGGGTCAACAGTCTGAACAATATTACTGCATACTTACAGTTGCCTGAATTTTTGCAGTGCCTGGGGAGGAACAACAAAAGTACTTGGCTCCATCAAAATCCCATTCCTTCCACGGAGGGCTGGGAGGGTTTGAGCTGCTTTCCACCCCCATATTTATGAAACAGCCTCACACTGAGCCCTCTGCCATCCCAGGGTGGGGCAATGCCTGTTCCCTTACCCATGGGCAGACACCCACTGCTGGGGTGACCATGAGTAGAAGGAGCAAATGCATCCCAAAAAATGATGCCAGAAAATCTGAGAGCACCTGAAACTTGTAATTTTGGCCCAAACCTTGGACTCCTCCTGCTGCTGGCATGGGGCTGTGATTAGCAGAGTTGGGGAGCTAAGCTGTGCTTGGGGGGAGGCAGCTCACAGCAGATGCAGCAAAAAATCTCCCACAGCCTTTTCTGCCCTAAAGCAGCCTTTTGCACTCCAGGTCACATCTGCTACTGCCAGCACAGAGAGCAGGAGCAAGTGAGACCAGCTTGTGCTAGGCTGCCTAAATAATGAAGAAATACCACAGCAGGACAGATTTGTTTCATGTTTGGTTGCAGAGGAGGCTCTGGATTGCTCTGCAAGAGTGGGAGGGTTTGTTTTCTGCTTCTGCTTCGATGAGTCAGACCATGAGCAGTTCAGATCTGGAGAGTCTCAGTTCCTATCATTTCTAGCAGGGAAACATCTCTGCTACTGCTTTTGTTCCTTCCTACGGAGATTTGTAGCTTTGCTGGGCAGGAACTCTGCTGAAATGTGCTTAGCACAGCTGGAGCCTCTCATCACAGCTGTAAAAGAAGCAAATAAAAATAACATTTGTGCTCATCAGCAGCATCCCATTGGCTTCTCTCAGCGCTAATACTCAGCTGCCTTTGAGACAGACATTAGTCAAATCCTGCTCCTCTTCCGAGCGCCCCATTATAAGAAATGGGAAGAGCCTTCCATTACTTCTGACACAACCTATTATTTTTTCCCATCCTTCTCTCAGAGGCAGAATGGACATCAAGGAATATTTTGCCAGAATTTCTTACCGGGGCTCCCACAATAAGCCAGACCTGGGTACCATGTCAGATATATTCCAGCACCACATCCAAGCTGTCCCTTTTGAAAACCTCAGCATCCACTGTGGGGAAACGATTGAGCTGGACCTGGAAGCAACCTACAACAAGATAGTGAGGAAGAAACGTGGGGGCTGGTGCATGGAAAACAACTACCTTTTGTCTTGGGTCCTGAAAACTCTGGGCTATGACGTCACCCTTCTGGGAGCAAAAGTTTTTGTTCCGGAGCACGACGCCTACCCAGAGGAAATGGATCATCTGCTGCTAAAAGTGGTGCTTGATGGCAAATCCTACATCGTGGATGGGGGGTTTGGGATGGCCTACCAGCTGTGGCAGCCAATGGAGCTGATTTCAGGGACAGATCAGCCGCAGACTCCCGGGGTCTTTCGCTTCCTGGAGGAGAGCGGGACCTGGTACCTCGAGAAGGTGAAAAGGAAGCAGTGGGTTTCCAACCAAGGTGCTTCCACTTCCCACAACGTGGAAGATGAAGTCTGCCGTCGGATTTACCTCTTTACCCTTCAGCCACGAGACATTGAAGAGTTCAGAGGCTGCAATGCCCACCTGCAGACAGCGCCCGACTCGCTCTTTGTGACCAAGTCTATCTGCAGCCTGCAGACTGCCGACGGCATCCGGGCACTGGTGGGGTGGAAACTCACTGAGATGAAGTACAATTATAGGGACAATATGGATCTTGTGGAAATCAGAATGCTTGCAGATGAAGAAATAGAGAAAACACTGAAAGAGAAATTCAATATAACACTAGACAAGAAATTTGTACCCGTCAATACAAGCAGGTTGTCTCTGTTCTAACTCACTGCCTGAATTATAATTCAATTCAGGGGCATTACAGGCAATTCCTCCCCCTCTTTCTGACAAGCATCTAAAGGTTGAGCTTTTCCCTTCCATCTACACCAGTGTAAAGCAGAACATACTGGCACGAATCTGGAAAAGAAATGGATTTTCACAACTATTCCTACATCTCTTTTTGATTTGGGTACAAATAACTCCTTCGCAGCTCAATCAAATCACTGTCCTCTATTTGTGCTTAGCGGGGAGCACACTCTGCCCATTCCCTACTCCTTTCATCTCTTAAAAGCTTCTCTAAACACACCCAGAGCAGCTGGGCAGAATGATGGAACTGCATGGCTCTTTCTTTATTACCTGGTGCTGCCACCTGGGGAAAATCATATCCACCTCTTAAATGAACACTATATTATTTTGGGAATTTAACAGCCAGAAAAACAAAGACATCCTGTGCTGAGTTTGCTCCTCAAGCCTGTCCTTTTTGCTCCTGCATCCACAACACCCTCTCACGTGGCAGTCAGATGGTGTCACACCTGTGCTGCACCGTAAGAATACTTAAGGACAGGTTATTTATGGCCTAAAACAGATGATAAGAAATATTAGCGACAATTCTGTCTTGTTTCAGACTTTACACGACTCCAGTTCTCTGAGTGACATAACCAAAAAGCAGTATTTCTTTGAACTTAAAGCATTTCCTGAGCATTTTGTTTGCTACCACCCAGCAGCAGACTGCTGGGAATACATGTTCCTCTCGTCACTCTGAGTGTTATTGCACATTAATTATTATGGTTGAACCCAAAAACAGGCACAGAATTATTTATCTGAAATATATCTGTTCTACTGAGGATGTGTTTGCAGTGATACAAATTATATTGATAAAAGGAGAAACTATGAATCTTAATCACATACCTAAAGGCTAAGATTTCTAGTAGGAGAAATTACTCAAATGTGATCACTTTGCCCTTTGAGAAGATACTTGATGTTCCTTCATGTACAAATCTTGGAAGCATTACAACTATGCACTTATAATTTAGTAAATTATATAAGTGATTTACAGTTAAATAAAAAAAAAAATAAATAAAGCATTGTGTGGTAGAATTATTCAGACATTTTCCCCCCCAAATTACAGCATGTATTCCCAAAGTAAAAAATGTCATTAATCACTGCAGTTGTCCTGATTATTTTTATGTGCTAATATTTTGCAGCGAAGGCTTTTAAAAAACACAATAACTCACTGAACCTTTTTTACTTGGTATGCAGTATGTGCAGCTTTCTATAACTAGCAATTTATGGTGAATAAAAGCTGCTGCTATTCTGCACGTTCAAAGTGTATTTCATAGAGACACAGCGAGCTCCCCAAATCCCCATCTCCCCAGAGTTCAAACTCATCTGTATGTGCTTGGCTGTGGGTGTGCAATAGTCCTTCATAGCATATGAGGCTCTCCCACCCCATAGGGAAATGAAATGTTAATGACATCCTGTAGTGGGTTGCAGAAGAAAAAGGGGTTTCTTATGGTGTGGACCAGCAGCTTGCAACACAGATGATCAGAAGGAATTGTCCCAGGATATGGCTTGTTTGTGGTCTGTGTCTTTCTGTGGTCCCTGCAATAGTGGAAGAGCTAAAGGAGCTAAACTCAGGAGGTTTGTCCTTGTAGCAGCCTGGCAGTTGGGGCAGAGCATTGGGATGCAGGCAAAAGTCCAAGCAGGTCTTGCAAAGTTGTGGGACAGGAGAAGATCCATGCAGAGCCAAGAAGCTCCATCCTTTGTGGGAACAGATATAGGAAACACCTAGAAGGGGCTATGCCCACTCCTCTCCCTGTACCTGGAGTTCCATAGGCTCAGGGCAAGGACTACAGAACCATAAAATCACAGACCTTTAAGATCAGAGTAGAGCATCACATCTGTTGCCCCAGAGATTCGGCATGGGAAGGGCAATAACAGGGAAAACCACTTTCTTTCTGCTGACACATCTCCTGGACCATGTGCCCCGGCCACTGCCAGGGCTGCTACCCCTCCATGGCACAGCTCAGCACTCCTGGCCCCTGCTCAGCACATCCACAGAGGCAGATTTTATTGCTGAGCAACCAAATGAAACTTGCTGTTGGAAGGGGGAAAAAAAAAAAAAGAGGCTCTTCCTCTCCAATTGCACTGGTTTGTTTTTTTCTTGTCACTAACTTTGGAGGCAAATCCTTAAAGGCACAGCAGGCTCAGGGAGCACAGACTTCTCTGGGAGCAGTGTCCTTGCTGCTGGAGAACAGGGCTTCTTTTTGAACCCAAGAGGATTTAAACAGCTACCTGACTTGGCAAATCTGATCATCTTGCCTTGGGGAGGGTTGGTACCAGCCACGAGGAATATGTGTGATTAATTCAACAGCTGCCATTCCTATCAATGAAATAGTGACTTCTTGCCTTGGATAACTATCACTAGTCACTTCCAACAGGAATCCAGACTACATGAGTGTCAACAATATAAAATCTGTATCAAAATTTGCACTATTTCTTTGCTGCTGTAGCTTGGGAGCACCCACCAAGGTGCCCCATGGACTGAAGCCCCTGGGTGACCTGCAGGGTCAGGGATGGGTTTATAGGTTATAACCACTTACAAAAGTTGGTCATGATACTCATACTGTTTTTTTCCTTTGTACTTCTGCAGGGCTTCAGTTCTCATTCAGTAACGTGGAAGGTTAAAGTCTACTCAATACTGTAAGCAATCTGGGGGCTGGATCATTTTCAGGCTCTCCGTCATGACAAGGCTATCTACACATATGCCAGTATAAATAAACCAATAAAACAATTAGAATATAAACTGTTATAAAAGAAGAAATTCTCACCTCTTTTACTGCTGTGAATAACACTGAAAATAACACAGAGAATAACACTGTCCCTGACAGGCAGTAAAGGCAGCCTGGACCTTTAAGGGCAGCAGTTCCCAGTGCAGCTCTTCCTGGGAACTTCGGAGCAAACCAGCGTGGAAAGCCTGAGCTGACTGCCTGAGAGGTAAGCACTGAGTGCCTGATCTTTAACTTCACCCTGCAGTCTTGGGTCAGGCCAGAAGTTCAGTTTGGGAAAGCCCACCCCTGTGGCTCTGCATGCCATGTGCTCAGCACTGTAGGCATATTAGCAAAGCACAGACTACAGGAACACAGGGGCCAACGGCGTGTGTTGCACGGCAAGGGCGTTTTCCAAGTACAGCAATTCTTTGAGAGTTAAACTAACCCCTTTATGCTGAGCCAGCTACTGACTCACATCGTGACTTAAAAATCAAACAAATAGCACAGGCACGTGCAAGAGGATCCAGCCTTGGAAGTCCCTCATGATTTTTAGCAGAGAAGAACTGTTGCTAATACTCACCCTAATTATGGAAGGACACAGCGATCCCCAGGGGCTCTTCCAGGCAGGCAGAACTAATGTCTGAATCTCACTACCCCCCAAGCTGCATGAATGCTGAGTGAAGCTCAGCTGCTGCACGAGCAGAAGTAAACAAGGCTGAACTGAGGCTTGGGATATTTGGCAACTCAAGTTTTGGAACAAAAACTCTCCCCTGGGCGAGGGCTTGCTCACTGCTGCAGCCTCAGCGCTCGCACAGTGGGAATGGTGGTGCCAAGAAAAAAAATCTGCCCTTGGGAAGGCGAGGGAGTAAACACTGATTTATGTGGGTGCTCCCTGATGTCACTGATGATGTAGTGCAGCTTTATTATACTTAAACCTCTTTAAGTATTCATTGAGATCAGAGCACGTTTTGTCAGCCACCAAAGGCTGTCTCTGATCCAGCCTTTACACTGACGAGGCCAGAGAAGGGGCAGCTGGGGAAACTGAGGCACAGGCCAAGAATTTCCCAATATGTGTTTTCCTAAAGCCTCACTGCCAGCCCCCCACGGAGGCTCTCCATTGGGAGGTTGCTCATGGATAGAAGAGAGGAACTGGTTATATGCTGAGCTCTCAGTGGAGCAGTGGGAACACCCAGACCCAGGAGATGGGTTGTAGGGAGGGCATCAGGTCTTCTGCTGCTGGACCAGGGCAGGGACTCATCGGGTTTTTGCTTGAAGGCAAATTTCAATCGTATCACACCCACCAGGCTAATTAATGGATTCTCCTGGAGCCCTCTTGGTCACAGAGATTCAGCTCAACACCATCACAGGGAAGAGATGTTTCTATCTTGCTATGCAAAATTGCTGAAAGTGGGAATAGAAAGAAAAATAAACCAGAAGACCACAGGATGAACCTGCCAGCCTACTTGTGCACTGTGTGTTGGGGAGGGAATAGCTTCCTACAAGTGTTTCAAAGCATATCCTGCCAGAGATGAGTGCCTTTGTCCTAAAAAAGGGATTGAAAAAACCCATAAAATGCAGTATCAAAGAGACATTACTGTTTTTTCATGTAGCCTCCTCGGGTCCTTTTGAAGTGAAAATGTTTGTTTCTTATTCCCTTATTGGGATAGGCCTCTATTCTATCACATTTTCCTGTGGCTTTGCATCAGCCAGTCTGAATCCTGGTACCAGTGCAGATCAGGAGCAATACAACTAAGTGATGAGAGTTGTGCTGCTGGCATCAAGGTTGGGGTTAAAGTCTAGAGATCAGGTCATCTGACGTGTTCACCTGCTGGGGTGGGGGTGTTTCCACCCATGGGTTTGAGGTGGGATTTTCACAAGCTCCCAGCACTCCCTTGAGTGCTGGCATGGCATGGGGTCAAACTGCTGGGGGGAGCAGTTGGACCAAAGAGAATAGTCACCAGAAGGGAGTTTCTTGCATCTCATCCACATCAAATGATTTTCGGAAAATCTTCCCAGGGAACACGTGATGGACTTTGAGCAAGAAATCTCAGACTTTTCAGAAATTACTACAGCCCTTAGCAGATTGTGAATTGTTCTGGAAGACAAATATCCTTCCGTGGAAAAAAGCCAAATTATATCTAAACTAAAGGCAAGAGAAATCCTTGCAGAGACCGGATGAGTCAGTGGATTAGAAGTGTTACAGGGAACCTTTTGCACCTTGACCACACAGCCAGTAACTATGACAGTGTCTTTCTCATAATGACAGGAAAGGGGATCAAAGACCTAAAGACACAAAATATTTCCAATAATTCGAGCTGAGAGAAAAGGTTTTTGTTTGTACAAGATGGTAAAAAAACCCCAAAAGATGATGAATACACCTTGTATGTATTCTTAGTAATTACCAGTTCCTCTAATCCTTAGGTTAGAAAAATTAACAGTTCCTTCCTTTCACAGCCAGGGCCAAAGCCCTGTCTAAACTCCACAGGGAAATTTAAGAGATTACGAAAACAACAATCTACTTCACATGGAAGCCTGTCTAAAATGGTGACACACTGAGATGTTAATCCCAGTTAAATGAAGCCATGAATGTAAAACCTTCTGGCTAAATTACCTGTGGGATAAAGAAAGAATTGCTTACCTGGTAAAAGAAACAGTGGGAACTTGCTGTGACTTTTATGCTGGTATGGTCTAACAGTTTTTCTGCAAACCTGTTGTTTGCCAGTTTTAGAAAACTTGTCATGTGGGATCCTCATCTGTGGCCAGAGACTCTGTGGTGTGTCTTCCCATAGGAAAGACATCCATCTGGTTTGAAGGCAACACCTGAGAGAGGGAAAGCATTATTGTCACCTGCTCCCATCCTTGTCTCTTTTTCAAGAAATACAAATGGCAAAGGCAGGTCTAGCCTGCATTTGTCTCATATCAGGGGCAAAAGTTTCTTTGAAATCCTCAATAAAATGGCCCAGGCTATGTTTGCAGGCTGGTTAACCAGTGTTACAGAAATAGGAATGAAGCCCTTGGCAGCTGCACAGCAGTAACTGGCTGTTTTTCTGCTCACACAGGCAAAATGAACATTCAAGAGTATTTCGGAAGAATATCTTACAACAAGCCCCATAAGGATGCAGACTTGCAAACCTTAAAAGCCGTCTTCCAGCATCACATCCAGGCCATTCCTTTTGAGAACCTCAGCATGCATTGCGGGGAGACCATCGAACTGGATTTACAGTCCATTTACAATAAGATCGTGCGAAAGAAACGTGGTGGATGGTGCCTGGAAACCAACTACCTTTTATATTGGGCCTTGCAAGAATTAGGGTATGACGTCTGCATTCTTGGTGCGAATAGCTATGACCCAGCACAGAGGGCATACACTGCTGAGATGAACCATATCCTGCTGAAGGTGGTGATCCAGGGAAATTCCTACATCGTGGATGCCGGTTTTGGTGGTGCCTACCAGATGTGGCAGCCACTGAGGTTGATTTCTGGGAAGGATCAACCCCAGGTCCCTGGAATCTTCCGCTTCGTGGAAGACAATGGCACCTGGTACTTTGAGAAAGTCAAAAGGAAGCATTATATTCCTGAGCAAAGTGAGACTCCTTACTTCACTGACACTCCAGGATTGGGGAACATCAGAAAAATACATAGATTCACTCTTGAGCCACGACATATAAATGACTTTCAGGAGTTAAACACATACCTACAAGTGTCTCCAGATAACATACTTCGGAAGAAGTCACTCTGCAGTCTCCAGACCACTGAAGGGCTCATTGGCTTAGTTGGATGGACCTTGACTGAGATGAAGTATAATTACACAGAGGACATGGACCTGGTGCACATCACAACTCTTACAGATGAAGAGCTTGAGAAGACACTGAAAGATAAATTCAATATAGTGCTGGAGAACAAACTTGTACCAGTAAATGTCCGTGGCTTGCCACCTAATTTAGTGGATAAGATCTAATTCTAGCACTGTGCTATATGGATCAAGTATCCAAAAGAAAAGTTCTAAAATTAACATTAATTACATTAATTGATTCTGAAGTTGAACTAGACACAAAGCTTGGTAAATTCAACTACCTTGCTAGTTAACTGCCTGTACTTTTTGCACAAGTTTTCTTAAGCTTCTCCCTCTTTGGAAACTAAGAGTCTTACTACCTCTGATTTTCTCATATGGAAATTGCTTTTTGACTCCTTAACATTTTGTTCCACCTCTCTGGAACTCATTTTATTGCAGGTATATTTTGCATCAAAGGAGACCAAAATGATGCAGAAGGAGAAGCTGTTACCATTTTACACAGAAGACCTCTAACCCTCTTTCCTGTTATTTCCAATCTTCTCAGCAGAGTTTTACAAATTATTCACTTCCTTTAAAAGTCTGAAAGTTGAGCTGAATTTGGCTTTCAAAGACTTACTAGAAAAAAAGAAAGGTTAAGAGTTTCTCAAAACAAGACACCATTAGGTGCTGATTAGCTTCTGATGAGATAAATTGAAAGACTTGATCCTATTCTTTTACCAGGAATTGACTTAAAGTGAGCTATTTATACAAGGGCATCTAAAACCCCCCAGAAGCTGTCTAATTTTAAGCATCCCATTTTTTCTGAGTCTGATATTTCTGTGTCTCTAAATCTGAAGCAAAATTCATAGCAAGCAAGATGATTCAACAGTTCTCAAAAATCAGGCTTTTGCTATCAAACCTGAGGAAAAAAAAAATCAAAGTTAGATCACCCTTTGCAAAATATAATCTAAACTTTTAGGACCAAACCTTCTTGTGATGTCAAGAGGGCATGACAGTATTATAGGTAGAAGAGCATCGATCTTCAGCCAAGGAAAAGACTTTGATGCTTGTTTCAGTCAACCACACAGGACCCACGGAGCACCTGATGTGCCTAAAACTCAGGTGCTTTCCCAGATGCAGCCTAATGTGCTCTTTGCCTTCCCAAAAAGGACCTGCTCTGACATTCCACCTCCATCAAATGAAGAGGGGACATGCTTGACAGGGAGAGAATTAAATAAGCAGCACTGCAACGCTTTAAGGATGCAGGAGGAGGAAATGCATTACTTTGTGCAAATAAGTATTTGTGACGGTATTTGTTAGGTGTGGCAGATCCAAAATAACTCCCTGCTGCAGCTGAAGGTTTGAGCAGATTAAAAAGGGCAAAGAAGTGTCATTTTGTGCATCCATGGAGCATGGGAACACCCAGCCTGCAATGCCTTGGCAATTCAGTGGACCCACCAGGACACAGATACCATCCTCCACCACAAAGTGCTGGTTTGCAAAATAACCATAATTTAATTTTAAAAAGTTACAAAGCCGTTTGCAACTGCCCACTGTAATTATTTTACGTGGAAAACAAGTTCATTCTGGTCAGGGGGAAGGCATAAACATCTACTAATAGAGAAGAAACAAAGTTTAATTTGCTCATGGATCAGTGAAGTCCAAAAATGTGCATTCGTTTTGGGTGGACTCTGCCCTTTCTTGGAATTTAAGATTCAGGAGTGAGGGCCAGCAGAGCTTAGAAAGACAACCCTCACAATCTGCATCCACTCCTGGCTTCACTGACTGTAACAAACCACCCAGAAACTGAATACCTCAATAAATAAAAGGGGATCTCTTAAGAGGTAAGTTTATTTTCTTAAAAATCCCTCCAAACAAAGCAACAAACCCCCTGCTTTCTTTATGATGGTAAAGGTCATGGGCAATAACATAAGCAATATTCTTTAGGAAAAATGTTCTAAAAATGTGTGGATATAGAGCTAAAATATCACCTGCTAAATAGGAGCTCTTAAAGAGGGCAAAAAAGTGACACGCAATTTCAATTCTTCTACCTTTTACTCTTCAGGAGAGGCTTCAATTGACTATGAGATATAGATTCTTTTGTTTAGATACAATACTAGATATAAATACTAGATACAAATTTAGAACTGCAACCTCTTGATGGAAGTGATGCTTTGAGATTTTTAAATTTATTTAAAAGTATTGCAAGTGCAAAGGAAGCAAAAGTGCAATCTAATAATCAATAGATTCTGCTTTATGGGAATAAAAACAACTTTAAAAAAAAAATTACAAACTACAGGTTGTGTAACCCAGAAAATCCATGTGCTGAGATATTAAGATAAAGGAAGACAAATAACATGTTTTTAACAATGGAATTGCTGACAGTGTGTATAGTCCTGGTAAGGAATATTTTTGCATGAGCACCTTCATTTGCACATTTAGAAACAGCTCTTTAAGGTTCTTCTGCTGATGTTTTTCTCTGCATAAATCACAGCCACATTTGGGGGGCTACCTTTTCAGCACCTGCCTTTGCAGTATCCTGCCCTTTCAGTACCTACCTTTTCATCTGACCTGCTCATAATTCAAAAGAACAGTAGCTTTCATCTCCTACAGTCCAGATCTAATGCTGATCAATCACATTATGGAGCTGCAGACAGAAATTACAAATAACATGAACTCCAGAACCAGCTTTATGCAGGTGTGATCTGTTTAGCATTCACAATCAGAGCGAGTAGGATCAGATATACTTGGATTCTGCAAATCAAAAATGCCCTGAATCTTGTGTTATACTTAGCAAATACTACATTGAGACTATCCTCCAACAATACACTGAGATATCACTGGAAGCTAAATTCCTTTCTGCAGCAGATAAGTGTAGATTTGATGGTGCTCTCCGTGCACTTTGGACAGCTGCCTCTACACCAGCTACAGGCACAGCACGAATCTGCCACTGAGAGTCATCTTGAGAAATTCTAGCTTGCAGTAAATCTTCAATGGTTCACTGCTGAATTTATCTGAATACAATAGTCTTCCTGAGCCACTAAGACGTGTCTAAACCTCAGTTTACTGTGTATGCACAAAAGATCTCCAAGTAGCTTCGTGTGCTGGCAAGAAGCTAAAGTTTTGCACTAGCTCTGAGCTGCTGAAATGCTCAGTGCTCTCTTTGCAAAGGCTCAAGCCTTCAAAGCATTTTGTGCCCAGCTCCAGACCCAAGCAGATGATCTACAGTGTATTTTACAAACAGCATCTACCAGATATCTACCAAGGATCCAGCTCATGACAGTGGCCAGAGACTGTGATGGGCCATTGCAAAAGCCAGATGAATGTGAGTGGCTTTTCATGGTATTAGAAGGCAGGAATGAAGTTGAGTATTTCCTCATCCAGAAATCTTGTTCATGAGGAGTCCTACCAAGGCAGGTCAGGTGTCAGCACAGGCTGAGATTGCACTGTGTGAGGCTTGGGTAATTCTCAGTCATGCCTTCTCTGGAAGGATTAAAGTGAGTTTTAAGAAAGGCCTAGAGAGGTGTAAAACAGCCCATGTCCACTTTCAGGGCACCCTGTGAGATGCAGGGCAGATGTGCTCTTTGTCTTTGGGGTCACTCACTTCCATTAGGATTCATTATTCCAACACCAAAATGAGCTTCTACAATACTCATTTCTACAATAGAGCAGATCAATGGTCTGTGACTCTTTCAGAGGTCAGAGTTTTTTCAGTTAAAGTTATCTGAATAAAACTTGACACTTTACAAAATGTGCAGGAGTATCATCTTAACTTTTTGTAAGTGGTGGAAGAGCGACGTGTACTGAACAAGCAATTTACTGTCATGTCGATCAGTGGCAGACTCATGTAAAGAGCTCAAATTATCCTCCCTCCAGCTGGCAGACAACACTGCTTCCCCCACTGACACTCCTTGCACTGAACAGAGGATTTAAAACATTTTTCATGAACCCCTGTACGTACTCCCTAGCGTGATCTTTTATTTCTTCTTAACCCCGCTGTTACACTGCAAATACAGCAAATCCCCATTTCACAAGCACCACATAGGAAGCTGAAAAGGCATCAGCTGTTTGCTATAGGGATGCCCCTCAGACAAAAGCAAACTCTCACATGCACTGCTCTTTGCCTGGGGAGCCATTTGATATGAATACTTGGTACCTTTAAGAGCTGCTCTGATGAGGTTCAGTAGATTAAAGCATCTTTGCTGGCAGAGCCAGGGCAGCTTTTCACAGCATCATAAATCACTGATGTAAAGAAACCAAACCAAAACGCAATTCCTTCCTTTACAGGTGACATGAACCTTGAAGAGTATTTTGCAAGAACTGGCTATAAAGGCTCCCTTGAAAAGCAAGATTTGGAAACCTTAACTGATATATTCCAGCACCACATCCGTGCTGTTCCCTTTGAAAACCTCAGCATCCACTGCGGCGAGAAAATTACTTTGGAACTGGAGCATGTTTACAACAAAATCGTGCAGAGGAAGCGGGGGGGCTGGTGCATGGAAAACAACCAGCTGCTGGGCTGGGTCCTGAAGTGCCTGGGGTACGACACCAGCTTCCTGGGAGCATATGTGTTCAACCCCCACCAAAACACATATGCCACCCTCATGACCCACCTCCTGGTAAAGGTAGTCATTGATGGCAAAGCCTACATCGTTGACGGAGGCTTTGGTGTGTCCTATCAGATGTGGCAGCCCATGGAGCTCGTGTCGGGGAAAGACCAGCCCCAGGCTCCCGGCGTCTTCCGCTTCACGGAAAAAAACGCCGTCTGGTACCTTGAGAAAATGAGACGGAAACAGTGTATCCCCAACCAGAACTTCTCTAACTCTGACCTGCTGGAGAAAAAAGAGTGTCGGAAGGTTTATATGTTCAGCCTTGAGCCACGGACAGTGGAAGATTTCCGTTTCCAATGCACGTACCTTCAGACTTCTCCAGATTCCCTCTTTACAAAGAAGTCCATCTGCACCCTCCAGACCACCGACGGCTTCCGAGCGCTAATTGGGTGGACGTTCACTGAGACCACGTACAACTACAAGGAAAACATGGATCTGGTGGAGTTTGTAACCCTTGAAGATGAAGAGGTGGAAAAAACCCTCAAAGAGAAATTCAACATTACCCTAGATAGAAAACTTGTCCCAGTTAATGTTAAAGGATCTTACACAATCTAGATGATCAGGAAAACCTACAACAATGCTACGTAGGTACAGTACCTTCCACTGTCTGTGCAATCCCTTCTGCAAGGTTATGGGATTCATTTACAGGTGACTGAAAGACAAATACATTAATATGGGATTAAAGTGAATTTCACTTTGGGAAAAATTAGGAATTTAAGACTCTTGAGTTAGTCAGATAGAATTATTTGCTGTGAGATGACTGCCATTCAATTTTTGGCACAAACGTAGGATCTGATTTGAATCTGGTTATAAGCTTGGGTAAGAAATATGTCTGGGGTATATTGGACTGCCTGTAGCACACAAATAGGAGTATGGATTATTGATTGTGATGTGCTGCCAACACATTTTCTGTGGTTATTATAGGGAGACAAGTCATCTGTGAGCATTTAGACAATGAAGTACACATTTAAAACTTCATTTTTCATAAGATCCGACCACTCACCACTCATGTCATTTCTCTGCCTTTGTCATCTTTGAAAGGAGCATTGGGAGGCATAATTCTTTTGCCATCATCCTTAGACAAAACATAGTACAAAATGAAAATTATCATCATGTGCATCTTTTTGGCCATTACTGCAGTAAACCAAACTACCAAAAAGTAATTTTTGGTATGTACAGATTTTTCTGGTGATGAAAATTCTATATATTGCAGTGTTATTGTGGCTGATGGGCTCTAAGGAGATAACTACAAGCTTTGCTTCTGATAAGTAATCATCCTATAAATGGTGATTAAACGTCACAGCTGGCTTAGATTTACTTTTGTCCCAAAAGGGGTAGAAATGTTGTATTTTTAGTATTTCATTTTATTTGTATAACAAAGGTAGAACAATGAAGCTAAGCCCACTATATCCTTAATTCTCTACTCTCTGTGTATAGCAAACATAAGAGTCCTTGTAGCTGTCCTGCATGGGAACTGCTTAGCACAGGAGCTTAAATGTCACAAGGGAGTTTGCTCATCTGTATCAAAGGGAAAACAAAACCAGGAGCCAGCCAAATCTAAAAGAAACTCTTTCTTTTGAATTATTTCACAATCACGTTTCCCCATTTTTAAAAAAAATATTGTTCCTCCTACCATGCTTCTCTGCAAAAAGCCCAACCAAGGGGAAACATTCTTAAATACATACAAAAATAGCAGAAGCAGTGAAAAACACTCTTTCTCCCCAGTCTATGATAAGCCTGAGTATTGGTCAAATGTTGATTCCTCCCACTGATAGTGTATTTTTGCTCAAAGGCATCACCTGATCGTTAATCTCACAAATGCTGTAAGTGTATACCAGAAAATAAATAAAAGGAAAATAAAACCATTAAGAGTTGTTTTAAGTACAGCTGCCCCCAGCTGCATGACTCCTGCACACACCATCTGCTAAGTGGGGTCTGTTCACTCCTGATACCGACCTGCAACCCTTCCCACCTCAAACTTCCTTGGATCATTAAGGTTGGAAAAGACCTTTACGATCATCAAGTCCAACCCTCAAACCCAGCACCAGGTTCACCATTAAACCCTGATCTCAAGTGCCACACACATCCACATGTTTTTTGAACTCTTCCAGGGATGGTGACTCCACCACTTCCCTGGGCAGACTGTTCCAATCCTTTACGACCGTGGTGGCAGCTGATGGCCTGGGTGCACTTGTCATTGCCCAGGGATGAGGAACTGAGGACCAAGCAAGAGGTGATAGGGGACACAGAGTTCTTACTGAGGTGAGAACACAGCTTTTCTATTAATAATGAAACTATGGGATTTGTTGGGTAATTTGTATTCATATTATTCTCTTATATTAAGGTCCCATTAAGGGGGTTTACCCTTTTCTAAGTGATTGATAATTACAAGGTGTTCCCTGAGACCTCAGGGAACATTACAAGCTTCAAAACACTCACCACCTCCATTCTAACCGATGGAAATTCCCATCTGCACTCACCCAGGTAACCAAACCATATTTCTGTATGCAGTGAACTACAGCTGTTTTCTGGTGCTGCTCCCTCTTGAGGACAGTCATTAACAGAGTGGTTATTCTGCCTCCCAGCTTCTCTAGAGGTGTTCCCGCTGTTGCTCCCAGATAATTGCTTGGGTTGTGATAATACAAAGGTTTCTTGAGCAGAGGTCTGTGGACTAATATCAGCATTTTTAACTGTGCCTCCAATAATGGGATTCAACTCCCTTCTGCTGTTCAGTTCATATTAAAAATCTATGGTGACTGAAGCTTCAACCCTCTCCTTGACTGTTGATAACCACTCTGAGTGGGATTTCTCCTCTCGATGTGACAATTATAACCAGGTCCTCGCTGTGCAACATCAAATCACACAAATAAATGCCAACACATACAGCTAAGAAACAGGTTCACAGTTTAACCAAAGCTGCCCAAAAGCTGAGGAAAGCAGGTTATTGAGGTGTGAATGCCAGACCCAAAGTGCCTCAAAGGTGTGAGATGAGAATGTCGTAAAACCAAACAAAACCAAACAAACCCGGGGGCCTCATGCTGGGGTCCCATTAGCAAGGCATTATTGTACAAGCTGATGTTATCCCATCCTGAAAAGAAACACTCAATCCTTAAAACATCAGCTCTCACAGAAACTTGCATTCACATGCGGAAGGAACTGTGGGATGTGTTACATCCTTCACCACCACTCTGCTTTATTAACACTCTCTGAGAAGGGTTTAATAAGAGCCTAAACGATTTTGCAGTTTTAGTTGTGGACTGTTGTTGAAATGAAGCAAAACAAATGCTTAGAAACCTCCCCTGTGCCCCCAGACTTGTCTAATTCCAAATACAATTTAAAAGTATGGTATTCCAATTAAGAGAAAGACAAGACAATTTCTTTTCTAAGTCTGAATGCTGGATTAAGTCCCAGAATCCCAGCCCAGCTGCCCATTACACACACACGCAATGCCCAGTGGCAATGACAGCCATTGTAGCATTGCATAATGGAGTGTTTGATTAGAAAACAAGACACAGGACAGAAGAAACACGGTTCAAACTCCATGGCACCGCTGAACATCCTGCCCCTCCCCAAAGAACCAAAGTTTAATCAGCTCATGCATTACTAAAGGGAGGACACAGGATGGCTCACTTCAGTTGGACTCTGGTCCTGGACTTTTTAAGATCCAACACTAAGCAGAATAAAAGTAAAATGAGAAACATCAGCAAGAAAGACAAAGTTTTACTGTTCAGTACTTCCATGGTTCCAACCCCAGAAATAAACACCATGAGCCTGCCAAAGGACCAAACTTCACCTGACAAGGGACAGACTTAACACTGTGAGCTGTGAGCACCAACTACACCCACACTTTGCTTTGTTCACCCTAACAGGTACCTCAGTGTCACAGGCACAAACACTTCTGGTGCCTGGTAACACTTTACCAGCTACATTTTGCAGGGAGCCACTTTCCTTCATAAAAACACTACTTACCCAACTTTTGTTCTCACTTTTCATTTAGAAACGTGACCACGTGGGAAGGTTCTACAGCTTAGGAACTTGCACATGAAAATGCATTTGAGTCTGTGTCAGAGCCAAGAAAGCTGGAATTACTGTAGGTTCTCTTTATGAATAATTCACTGCTACACTTACATCTTTATCAAGAGTACTTAAGCACAGATTTTGTACAGCAGAATGTTTCCACCTTGGGTAGGAAGCTAGAGTCAGACTTATATAAATACATATATATATGTATTTATACAATTGGAAATGTAGACGGGTATTTCAGAAGATCCCATTATAATACACCTGTGCTTGTAATTTTGGGCACCTAAAGTACATTTCAAGTCATGTAGGGCTGATTTTTGGTTTTGCCTTGCTCCCAATAGTGCACTATGGATGATGTTTTTAAAGGCACATTTTACAAACTCCCCATGAATAAAAGATTGTGCTAAAAATGAGTAGCTGCTCTTACTGTAGCGTTTCAGTAGCTCACTGAGCCACCAGCTAAATGTGAACAGCAAAGCCCCCAGATTTAAAGACAATAAACTGAAATCTACCATTTCTTCACAGTTGGTGCTGAACATATTTAGGAAACAGCAGAACTACCCTCCCCCTCTCCTGATTCCAAAATCATGGATTTTCTGGGAAGCTGTTCAGTGTTCACTCACGTGCTTATTCAGGCACCGTGCCACTCACCTTTCCAGCTACCCCTAGGGAAATGACAGGAAATTAAGGACCAACATATGGCAGAATGCCCTTTAAGTGCTCATAATTATCCCCCATTGGACTGGACAGGATGCTGCAATCCAGGAGAACTCTTTGCACGAAGCCTTGGCAAAGGCAGACTTCACATGGAGTTCATCTGAGCCACTATTGTTATCAAAATAACCCAAAAACTCCTTTATGTTGCACCACCAGGAACTTCCCCAGTGCCCTGTCTCTCAGGACATGCACTCACAGTGGCATCTCCTGGTTGGTGGTGGTTCACTAGAACATACTTTATCCCTCAACTATCCAGCACAGCCATGCAGAAATTCACTCTCCATTCAAGAAATGTGCTCAGAGAGAGAGAGAGAGGAATCATTTTCCTACTAATAAGCAAGAAAGAATAATGGGATATATTCCAAGTTTTTCTTGTGACGACCAACAATAAATCATTTCTTAGCTCAGGTCACATCTTGCATGGGAAGAAAAATGTCTTGCCATCATTAACTTCTTTTCAGCTAGCAATAATATATGATCAGGTTTTAAGTAATTGAACCAGTAGCATTTAATTAGCTCCGAAAAACTATCTCAGATCATGAATCACAGCCTTTCCACCTGCATGAGGTCCCCTTTCTAGGTTAAAAGTATATTTCTCTTGCCATGTGTGATCCATCTTGAATATCTAATGAGGTGCTCCTGATATATAGATTATAGTTCATATATCACATGCAAAATACAGCAGGACACAGTGTCTCCTTCCTTAAATAATTGAGTTTCGTGTCTTGCTTCACTGAGCTGCTAAAAAAAGAAGAAAAAAAAAAAGCCTCTTGTGTCCATGACAGAATGGCCACTCCTCACTTCAGTTTAACCCATTCCTCTTCCTCCAGAGAGTCAGCATTAAGGATGAGTAACTCAGACATCCTGAGCAAATGCAGTAATAGCAATATTTTATGCTGAAAGGCATTTCACAGAGAACTGTTATGATTTTAGGCAAGACCACGCTGACATTTTTCAGAGCACTGACTGACCAAAGGACATGATGTTTCCTCCAACTATTACTTCAGATGGCTTCATCACATGCTGAAAAAATCAGTGCACTCAACTAGTATTTGGGACATCTGTGGCCAGCACAAAACAGGATCACTTCTTATATCAGACTGTATTAAGCATCTTTTTTTTTTCCATTAAATAAGCTAAAACCACAATCTAAACCCACAAAAAAATCACAGTTTTTATTCAGCTTTCAAGCATGTTTCTGAAGCCGTTATTACGCTTTTATGACAAGACTTGGATAATTATAAGATTGGATTTTTTTGTTGAAAAAGAGGCAAGATGAGCAAACTTCTTTTGGAAGACAGAAACTAAGACTCACAATCTGCTCAAATGTCAAGTTGTAAACGTTGCCCAATATTTGGCTTGCTCTATAAAAAAAAAGTTGCACTACAAAATCCTCTGTTTTTAAATAAACTTTATAAAAAATAAAATTCAATAAAGTGGATTTTATCTCTGTTCTTCTCCCATCTTATTTTTAGCACAGTAAAAAATCAAAAATAAATCACATGACAAACATGCTTCTGCTGACTTTTTTCAATTTGAAGACAGCAAAAGTTTTGATTTTCATAATAAAGAAAGCAGGGGAAGCTGAGCTGCCTTACTGAATTGGACACAGCTCATCTTTGCTTTTAATAGTTCTTTCAGATGTTATCTTAAATTGTAAAAAACATGGCTCTCCATTGCACGTGACACTTGATCTAGTTATGCACAACATTTAAAGAGACTGGTGGGATTATTGCCCCACGTTAAAAGCTGCTGAGGGAGGAAAGGATGTATGACATCCATCATAGACACATCCACTTTGAAAAATGTCTGTCGTGGATGGCTGAAATTTCAGTGAGAACAGAACAGATTTACAAATCCACCCTTTACATTAAATAGCAAAATCTCCAAACAGTCTCCAGTCCGTGATACTCTGTTTGGTAGGCATTAGGTAACATTTCTATTGGCTCCACTTGTGCAGTTGACATTAATCCTGAGGTTTTAAGAACATTTTCTTAGCTTTTTTCCTAGGTATTATGTTACTATTCCTATCTTCATCAGCTTCCTCATCTTCATCATCATCCTTGAGAACATGTTGGTCTCTCTTTCTCAAAAATTTCTTCCCTATTGTTCCCACTAATGTTTCGTATCTGGAAAGAGAATAAAAAATTTTACACCTTTTATTAAAATCAGAAAAAAATATTCAATGGAACAAATCAGAAATCCAATCAACAATTTAAGTGGTGTAAAAAACCTGGTCATTAGAAGCCTGAGAAGCACAAGTATTACATGAGGGCTTATTAGATTATTCATTCTGACAATCTGAATTGTTAGCAATTGGTAACAAGGAGGAAAGTAGCATAAAATACTTGGATATTAAAGGGCAGAAGTTATTTTATCCCCAAAAGTGATGGAGATTCCACTGAAAGTAAATCAGCATTCCTGGAAAATCAGTTCTGTACAGTCTGTTTTTTTTGTTTGTTTGTTTGTTTTGTTTTGTTTTTGTTTTATTTTGTTTGTTAGTTTCTTGGGTTTTATATCCCCACACATAATACAGTAACATATCACATTCCCAGCTAGCGTTCATTATGTCATAAAATATAACTTACCTTCTGGCCATTTCTTCATCTGACACATCAGCTTCCATTTTATCATCCACTTCAATTTCTTCTTCCTTGCACTTGGAGTTCATTTGGATCATTAACTTCTGAAAATGAAGTAAGAAACACCTTAAATATGTAACCATGTCACAGTGGCAACTGTGCTGAAATTCACAGGTAGGAGAAACACATAAAAGGCAAGAATCAAATTTAATAATTATTTGCTGTGCCTGGCCAGGTTTGAGCATATTGTAATGAAAACTCATGAAGAAAAGGCAACGTGCCTGTCTGTTGCTAAGCTGATCTTAGAGTTTGCCTTTGGGAAAAGAGGCCACACAGACAGAGTGTTTTCAGTGTATTGTGATACTCAAACATCCTAAGGGGCACTCCAAACATCTTCAGGAGACCAGAGAATTAGACCATAATTAATTTTTCATTGTGAAGTTACCACATAGTCCTTGAAACAGTTTTGTTAAGAGGGAAGAATATCTGCAAGGATTCACAGTTAAGGCCAGGAAGCAATCAGATGCTGAGTCACAGGGACAGCAAGTTCAAAATAACCAGAAGAATCCCCTAGTAAATCATCTTGCATAGCCTTTTGCAAACCTCTTAGTCTTTACACCTTCATCCTCTTGCTTCAGTTCAGGGGTAACCTTTTTATTACTGTCCCTGTGCGGTTCTATCAGTGTGAAACATGCCAGAAAGAAATTAAAGACTCTCTTTCCCAGCACTTTTACTTTGGAACTCTAAGACCTCACACAAGTAAGCGTTGAATAAATAGGGCTGAATGTTTGTAGGTTGGACTCTGCATTAAATGTCAGGAGGAAAAGTGAGCTTTTGTTTTGGTGAGTAGCATGTGGGATGGTTTCCTCACTTAAGGGAGAGAAAATCTGCAGGAGTCATGCAATTACTGACTACCAGCACAGGGAGATAAAAAGCTTCTATTTACCAGATGCTGCATTGATCCAACATTTTGGATTGAATCACGGAGTTCCTGCACATGAGAGGATTTATGGAAGGTGCTGCAAAGGCCAAACAGGATGCAGTGTGAACACTCAAATCCCCACCCCCAAGGGCTTTTCAATCCTAATGCGAGACCACCTCAAACCAGGACATTTAAACAGTACCTCAATTTCTGGATTGAATCCTTTGAAGGACATTCTGCCATAAACCAGATCCTCACACCGCACAAAGCTTCTCTCTTCAATTATACAGCTCCTGCACGAAACCCCAAACCCAGCATTTTGTCAAAAGGTGCACTTTAAAATAATCAAATTAAACAAATGCAAAAAGGATTTGCTGCCTTCCCCCCCCAACAAATAAACAAAACCACAGTGTATTTTATACCATCAACCACTTTCCGAAGCTTAATTGCTCTGATAAATCTGTCAGTACAAGGAGCTTGGAGTGCAAAGGAAGACTTTTTGCCAGCAAGACTGTGCCAGTTCCACATGCAAAATTAACTCTCCTGACAAAAAGCACTCTTTGCTGATATGATTCCACCTACATTAATACTTTTGCCAGAATAAAAATACCACATAAATATCACTCTCCAGGTGGCATTACTATACTAGCAAAAGCTTCTAATTAATTTTTCATTGTGCTGTTAGACCTGGCATTAGTTTGAGTCTGCCAGGACATAAAACACTGTGTCATTCTCTGTTCAGCAGGGACAGATTTCCCCCTTCTCTCTCCTTTTTTCCCTCCTCTAATGAGCATGGAGTGAGAAAAGAAACATGACCCTGAGGTGTTCACAATACACGTGCTAGATAAAAGTATTTCCATGAATTGTTCCTTCCTTCTTTTCCTCACACACGTATGTACCTGTTCCCTCATCCTCTTCATCTCCCATGTGAAACAAACTCTCAGGACCATAGGAAGTTAGGCTGAAGAGATTAAGCTCATTCTCCTACCTCAAGGCAGTATCAGTTAAACATGTACCATGAGCAGCAGAGGTCCACCTAACCTGTCCTCAAAAGACTTCCAATGATGAAGAATCCAGTGTCTCCTCAGGCAATCTATTCCAGAGCTTCAATAGCCTTATTGTTAGAAAAATTCTCCCAATGTCCAGCTTGAACCTGTCTTGCTGCAACTGAAGCTCAAATACCTTTTTGTCATATCCAGCAAGAGCAACGGAAAAGAGTTTATCAATGACCTTATTCAGCTACAGTTAATTCCTTGGGTTCCAGCTTTTTCAAAATTATGTATGTTCTCCCTCAATGGAATTTTTTTACACTTGTGAAAGGATGAAACCCAAGCAGTTTTAAAAGTGGTTTTCCTGCTATTTGAAGCACGTTTCTAAAGAGCAGGACATTTTCTTCCTTGTTAGCTAAGCCTTCCTTTCTTTTTGCCATTATCTCTCCTATTTCAAAAACAGGATTTGAAAGAGAGCTGGACACAAGAAGACAGAACTGTCCTGAATGAACTTAACCATGTGACTGGAGCTGAATTTACAAACACAAAGTTTCAAACTTCTTTTTTTCAAATGAAGGGAAAAAACAGCAGTGAATGAATAGGTCTCTGATTGAAAGAAACTAATTATATGCATCTAGAACAATGTGTGAGTGAAAGAAAATAACACACACAAGAATTGAAAGTAGGTCAAACTACACTAGGCAACCTTGAGAACAGCCCTGAAAGTAAGCAATAAAGTTGTAATGCCAGTCTCTTACTATTTTGTCTTCTGTTAACTGTTCATTAGCAATATTTATTTTTTAGAAAAAAATACGAATATACTATTTCCATTTCAAAACAATCCAGTGATGATAAGAAGTACAAAAGGTTACAGCTTACTCTTTTTCCTTTAGATCTGGTACATCAAGATACCAGTGTTCATCGCTAATTATCTTCTTTTCTTCCTCTTCTAGTTGTTTTTTAGTTTGTGAATCCAAACCCCTTTGCATGAACTACAAAAAAAGACACATAAACACACAGCGTCAGTTTTTTTCATCATGAGTATGTTCTGAACATGCAATAATTACATGATGGCAGTTATCCATTACATAACATTTAGCAGTTGATAAAAAGTAAATGCTTTTTTTTATTTTTCTCTGAGTTTGGTCTAAGTCTGGGCAAACAGGCCATGGAAAATTAAACAGCTGCTGATCGCAGCAAGTCAACAGTGAGTCACATCTGTACTTACACATAAAGAAACATCCTTCCTGGTTAGTTTTGATGGATTTGAGTTGTCACAACTCTGTAACTTTGCTAAGACTTTTCTAATGTTTCAACAAAGGCCAAAGAGAACATAATGGTGTTGAAGTTATTGCTGCACATCAGAAGCCAACTCCACCCACACAACTCAGAGCTAGAGGTAGGTCATACCAGGCTGTCCTTTTTTTGAAACACCTGTACTTTTAACCATCCTCTTCTTTTCTCAGATTTAATTTAATGAACTGGATTGCATTTGTAGCTCTGAAGGCGCAAACCTGCCTTTGGAAGTGGAAAAAAAGTAACAGACTTTGAAACCAGACTATGAAAAAAAGTCTTCTGCATCCAGCTGTGCTAAAGGAAGATGTTACCAGCTCTTCACTTCTCACTGATGACCCACCAAAGCACCAGTTGAGTGGTGTGTGTATAAGCACCTGTGAACCCACTGCAGGAACAGTCTGCCAAAATAGCTGAGACCAATAATTAAGTTTAGGGCAAGACTGCTACTTTTGCCTAATACAAGGACATTGCTGCCAATCCCTTCCTCGGTGATAACCCCTGTCAGAGGATGGGAACAGGCAGGGAGGGACAGTAACCTCTCAACAGCTGGGAGTAGAAGACATCTGTCACAGCCTTTGAAAAAGTGCTGAGAGCACAGAACTACACACCTGAGGTCTGTGAAACATCACTGTAATTTCCATTTGTCTCAAGCCAGGTGCCTGAACTGAGTGACAATTAAGTCTCAACAATGTCAAAGAAACAAGCTGGAAAAAACAGAACTCTTCACAATGTTACAGAAATAATCCCTGTATTCCCACACCCCTAGAAGCTGGGACCTCCCTTAGGATCTACAGAAAATGTTTGAGTAACTGTACTGGTCACAGGTCTACATTTATAGGACTGTAATTCTCAGATAGAGTACAGTTTACATGCAGTCCTATAAGAACTGTTTTGTGGCTATCAAAGCATACCTGTATGTGCACCACTGCAGAGGAATCTTATGTCAATTAATTTTACCCCTCTCATTTAGAGCTGCATCATTGTTATGTTCAGATAAGCCTGCAGGCTAACAGGTAACATGTCAGTGGGAACACTACACTTGAACACAGTTTAGGTCCCAGCTAAAATGGGCTTGGTTGGAGAAAAAGCCCCAGAATGCATCACAAAACACTTTCCTCCCACAAAACCCTGCACTGCTGAGTTTATTTAAAATATATAGGTAATACAGATGTGTAATATATGTATTATATATGCCCCACACATCTTTTCAGTCCTTACAAAATGCCCAAGCTAACCAAACCAAACTCTGAAGTAAAAGCCAGTAGAGCTAGTGTCTCATTTTGCATTTATATTTCTATTTGCATCCACTGTGCAAGATCTTTAATGCAAGAAAAATTGACTTTTGCTTTCTGAGTCAATTCAGAATATGTCAAAGCTTTCCAATTAAAATTACAGTATGTTCTTGAGGAAAATAAGTGAATCTATCATGTGGAAAACCACATTGCTCAAGGAAATTGGTTAGCCAGTCAGAAATCTCAACAGGAGAAATTCTGCTACAAGCACCCAATTAAATAATCATTTCGCATTACATTTTAAAGATTATGTTCCTAAAGATTGCTACAGGAATAACTAGATAAAAATTATGTAGTCACGTTTATCTAAAAAGTAAACACACAGAGATGAACTAAATATATAGTCACTGTGCTAGACACAAAGTCAGTAACTCAGTGGTTGGTTGGATTAGTTTCCCTAAGCAACAGGACCTGGATCAAATGGTGTAAGATGTAAAAGTGGGAGCCATCCTTATGTGATGGGTACCTGTGGCCCAATCCTTAGTGCAAATGGTCCTCACAACACTACCACTGACCACATGTCACCTCTGGGTGCCACTTCACCCATCGTAGCAGTACCTGCAGAGGCAGCTGCTAAAGGCTTAATTAAAACATTTGTAAACAAGAAGATCTGCAGAAGGAAAGTGCTAAATGCAAGGTCTGTCTATGACCTTTTCAAAACCTACTCATCTCTTCAAAGCTGGTTACTCCTGCCCAGACTGTAAACCTGCAAATGTCACAGGCTGGTTCTTCACGGCCTTTCATGGAAGGAAGTCTAAAATCCTGCTTTTGAAATCTCCAGGGGGTTAATAAATTAGCAAGCAACAGGAGTAAAAATTTTAAGGAGAGTATTATATAAAAATAAGAAAAAATAATGATGCTGCAATCCAGGTTATGAGTCTGAGTGTCACACTATTGGCTAACTCAACATCTACTCTCTTTTGAGAGGAGGCAAGATGTGTTCCATCCCCTCTGCGTACAAGTTTTCATCTTTCATGAGTGGCAGCATCTATTAATTGGGGTAAATATTCCATCATTTTACTGCAACAGAGTACACTTTATGTTAAAGATTGAACTGATGTCAGCCAAACTCTTTTCAGCTAGAATGTGAAATACAGCCCCATATATATGTGTGGGGGAAAAAATGGTTAAATAAAACACCAGAAAAAACACCACTACAAGCAAAAAGCCACAAAGGCCCCATCATATTCAGTTATAAAAATTGAATGGATATTAACAAAAAAACCCCTAATAATGGGAACTCCAATTTTACCGGTTGTTTTCCAGCAATAAAGAACTATCAATCACAGGGGAATGTACTCTACTGAATTAGGAATTGTAGTACACCGTGTGAAGCAGAATCCATTAGCCAGCAAGCACAGACTAATTTCACATTGGTGACACGAGATTCACAATTCCAAGAGTAACAGGCACGCCAGGATGTTACCAAGCTCCCTGACATTTATAAATCGGGAAAGGAGGTTAACGCTGCCATTCAGGCTGGGGATTTCATTAGTCAGCTATGTAAACAGTGAGAAAAATGGACACAAGAAAAAAGAAACTTCCCCCGCTCTATATTAAAGGCCCCACCCCCCAGTAAAGCAAGCAGCATTAACATTTTAATTTCCACGTGGTGGTGGGGCAAGTCTTATAATTTATATTCACAAAAAGCAACCCAGAGGAGCCAGACGGAAGAAAAGCTCCCTCGAAAGGGGCACTGCATTTGGCTCCTGAAGAGGCACTTTCGCTGGAATCACGAAGCTGCTCTGCTGGACCGAACCCTGCAGTTTATAACCCCCTGAGAGCGTTTAAAGCAGCGAGTTCTTGCTGGGGAAGCTGGAGAGGAGCAGCCCAGAATCCTGGGGAGGAGGGGGGGGGGCAGGGCCCGGTCACCATCGATAAACTGGATTTCAAACGTGGAGGCACCGATGGCCGCCTGGCACAGCCGGGGCTGGGCACGGGAAATGCTCCAAACCAGGGCACTTCGCCCGGGGGACACCCACCCACCTCCTCCCCGGGGCCGCCGCCGACCACCGGCTGCCGGCACGGCCCCGGCCCCGGCCCCGGCCGGGCGGCCCCATCCTGCCGCTCCCAGCCTCCCCTCACCCCCGCGCGGGGCTCAGGCACCCCCTGCCCCTGCTTCCCCCCTCACCTTCATGCGCAGCAGGTTCTTGGACAGCTTGGATTTCACCTCGGCGGCCATGGCGGCCCGCAGGCCGCGGCGGATCCCCGCGCTCGCGTAGCGCCCAGGCCGCGGCAGGGGCGGGGGGAGCGGGGAGGCTCCACCTCCGGCCGGGGAGCGGGGCCTGCCCACGGCACGGGGGAGGCACAAACAGCCGTAAAAGTGACAACTTTGCGGCTGTGTGGGGTGAGGGACGCCCGGGGGTGTGAGCGGGACGTGAATCCGCCCCGGTGTGAATTGGTGAATTAGAAAGGAAACCCCGATGTGTTTTATCAACGCTTGCGGTGCTGCCAGTTTATGGCTTCACCCATGATTTTCTGACACTTCAAAGAGAAGGAAAAAGAGTATACAAGGTCAATCTTGCATTGGCATTTGGAGACTGCTCGACTTCTTTAGCTTTCATTTTTTTACAGTCAGCACCGGCTTTGACTTGCAATAAAATCCCACCAATCACAAAGTGGTCAAATGCGATTAAAACTGGAAAGCACATCAATTCAAAGATATTATAAATCGCCTCAAAGCTTTGTTAGCCCTGAATCATGATCTGTGAATTCACTGTCTTTGGGCTGCTGGGCTGGGCCCTGGGAGCCGAGGAGGAAATCCTGATAGGAAATTACCGGCTGACTCCCAGTCACAAGCAGGGTACCACAATTTCTCTACATACACTCATAAATCAGATTTCTGACGCCTGTTTTGACATTTGGCACATAAACTGGGTGATGTGAGGGTTCAGTGTTCAAAACTTTAATGAACTGGTGTGCTCCAAAAGACAATCTAGGGAGAAAAGTTCCTGTATTTGCAAGGTGTAGGTCAAAAGCTTGAAGAACTCTGTCAAGATTTATGTTCTAATAGAGTCCACAGGAAGGTATAATGAAGGGCAAAACCTGATTGCAGAGGGGAAGGAGGAAGAATTATCCCCATGCAGACATCCTAATACAGTTAAGCTCGGTGAGTTAAAATGACCAGAAATGTGAGTGAAACATTGAGCAACAAATAACACTGCAAGAAAATATTTAATTTTCATATAGGGAAGGCATCTTCATTCCCAGGCTCTGTAAATGAGTTGAAGCTGCTCTGAAATTCAAGGCCCCAGTGAGAAAGTGTCTTTGTGTGTGTGGGAACTATCCTGTTTAGCTCCTTCTCTGTTCCCTTTCTCATTAACAGCTATCAACCCTTCCCAACAAAAGAAAGCTGGAAAGAAATTTGCCGTTTTCTGAATACGAATGTTCATCAAAGAATGAATATGTTTGAATCTTGGTGAACAAACCAATAGGGAAAAGCTGTTAATTATTATAATGGCACAGTACAGTCATAATCTGTCCATTTTTGGTATTATTTTCTATTTGCCATGCATTCTAATAATGTATTTGCTTTTTGTTGATCATTGCAAATCAGAGGCCTGTTTTTAATTGCACGGCCTTCAATGTCACTCAGGGCTTCTCTGAGCAGTTTCACTTCATTTACAGTCCAGGAACGTACTTTGAATGATTCCTTCTAAATACATTACTGCAGGCTCCTCAGCACTTCTGCAGCCACTGAGCTACGGCGTTACCTGGCTTTGCTTGGTGCCCTTTGCAAAAGCTGTTCCCGTCCCTCCTTCCTGCCCACAGAACACCCCAGCTCAACAATTCCTCCCCAGGCACTGCCTACAGCCCGTTTGGGCTGAGGCCATAGCACATGTCAGCTGCCTGATGTCTTTGTTGGGAAGGAGCATCATACCAGCAGCTCTCTGGGAGCTGAGTCTAATAATTTATGGCACCATGCAGTGTCTGACTGGGAGGGGGAGAGTGCAAGGGGTTTTCAGCCCATCTAACCATGAGAGTTATTCCTGGTGCTCCCTGGTGAGTGAGAACTCAAAATCCACAGCCTGAGCCCCCTTGCACCCCATGTCTTGATGCCTCACCACAGGTTTGCACAGAGATGCTGCCACTGTTTGTCTTGTGTGTCGGCACATCAGCCAACAACCTGCCTCGATACAGGCAGGGAGAAGTGCTTTGCAGTAAAGGCACTATAGGCTCTGTGATGTTTATTTAGAAAAGTGGAGATTGTAAAAAGGCTGCCACGGAATTTGATCTATTTTGGCAGTAAAAAAGTCCAAAGGAAATTTTTGGATTACATCTCCCATCACTTGAATTGGATGGGGAGGTTATAGATAACAATCGGCTGTCTGGTGGACCAGATTATACTGTCTGGTAAATCTGAAGACACTCCATTGATTATAGGAGATATTTTCATGATTTACTGGTGGTGGTGGAGGCAACTCAGAAGAGAATCCAGCCCTGTAAATACTCCTGCTTGTGAGGCAGAGCGAGGGTGAAGAGGAGATGTAGGTTTAGAGAAGAATCGAGGGTCATTATAAATGGCAATTAGACACCTCTCCTGCAGCTCTGACTTCTGCACAGCAGCTCCACTTTCAACCTGGAAATCCATTTCTTTTTCAAAACAAAAATACTCAGGGAAGTAACTCGAGGGAAAGGAGATCCATCTCATCAAAAGTTGTACATTAAACAAGCAGATAAAAGATTTTTCTTCCTAGGAAATGTGGTCCCTTCTCCCTCTAGTAATTAGAGAAGTCAAATCAAAGTTGTCATTAACATTATTTAAGGCATAATCTCTCTTGGAGCAACACAAGTTACAGCTGTGAACTAATTTCACGCCAATGGGATCTAATTTAGGGGGAACTCACGTCTTACTTTTTCTGTAACCTCCTACTTATTCATATTCTCATAGTATTATGATTTTAGTGCAAAATGGGTATCTCAAACCTTACACCAAGCGATCATTTGATTTGATGTGAGCTGTCTTTGAATTCTGAAGCAGCTTTTTACAGCTCTCAGAATACCTGAAGCCTTCCCCCCCCACCCCGCAAATGTAAAAATTCTTATAGTATGACAGGTGAGTCATTAATTTGTGTCAAACTCCTCCACTGTGTTTTAAGTAAGGATATTATGTGTTTTTCTCTATGAATGAGGAAAAGAAAATGAGAGGTAGAGCCGCCGGAGGTCTGTTTGCAAACCTGAAAGGAAAGTGTGAAGTGCTGTGTACGACTGGGTGGGATCAGGAAAGCAGTTTTGTACCCTGTGCTCCCTACAGAGATGGTGTGAAATCCTCCAAGTGGCAGAGGCGCCGTTTAGAAGTGGAGGACTCGTTTTTTCCTCTCTCCTGCTCCCGCCAAGCTCTGAGCTGCTAATGCATGCGGCGTTTTGAGAAGAGCTCGGGTCCCGATGGCTGGGGATTTGTTACAGTGTTCCTCACCCTTTGATGCGGGCGTGTCCCCGCTGGCCCCACGCTGCTCATCCCGCTTTGTACCTAATCCACGGAGGATACGGGTTAGCGACAGCTCTCGGCTCAGCCTGCGCTGACTCATCCTCTCAGCTTCTGAAGTCCCCTTTTCTGGCATTGACACCGGGTTAAGTGGCAGCTGACACACACACACACACACAACGTTTTAAATCCCTGCCCCGCGTTCCTCGGTGGACCCCAAGTCTTCCCGTGGGCGGGGACGATACGGAAAGGATGAAGCAGAAGCCCAACTCCTATAATTTGGGTGACGTGGATCTGCAAACACAGTTCGTGTTGCTGATGCTTTCTTTTAATAGCCTTAGATGGTTCACAATCTATGCAGGCTAAAAAACGTGTTTGTAGCAAAACAGAGTTACAAAATCTCCAAGAACAACCAAGATGTGTCTTCGGAGAAATGTCTGTTGTCAGGTTAAGAGAAGACAATTTATTCTGAGTGCTTTTGGCTGTCCCCGTGGCAGGGCAGGCGATCTTTGTGTGAATAAATACAGTAGTTCCTTTTTGATTACAGAAAGAACCAGCTTCATAATGGTAGCTCCCTGTCTTTTGCCCAGACCTAAAGTGGTGTGGGAACACACGCCAGTCTGTCATTCTGCTGGCATGTAGATAAGCTTCAAAACTTGAGCTTAAAAATTTGATCTTGGTTTGCAATGATTTGATATATCCCCACGCCAGGAGTCAGAACAGAGAGAATGACTGAAGAACACAGTGGAACGTCCTCCTCTTTGCTTTCCTTTAAAAATCAGGAGGCTTTTAACTTTTTGGATTTGATGGAATCACAATTAAAAGAGAAAAGGGAAATATCGCCTTCCATTTGGTAACTGTAAAAATGCAATCCAGCAGTGCTGCTGGTGCTTTGCTGTTTCTCAGGTCAATAAATGGCTCCCCTGACTTTAATAAACATTGATGCTCCAGGCTTGTTCTACAGTGATTGAACCTTTTTATAGTTTCAACCACTCGCATTGCATGAAAGACTTAAGATTTTTTTCCTTTTCTCCCTCCTCCCCCCCTTTTCAGGAGCATTGGTTCTGATTGATTAAATTGTCATTTTTGGAGTTGGTTGTTGAATTATAAGGTGGCATTTTTAACCATGCTATTTGTTTAAAGAGACAGCGTTTTGATATAGCAAACCAGCTGAGGATTTTTAAGCAGTAAAAGGAAATTTTGTTCACTTTGTTCTCAGCCTTTCATCACTGCCTGACAGAAATGCTCCTGAAAACAACATACAGCCTATGATATGAAGAGAAGGTACTTAGATCCACTCTCACTTTTTCTTTATTCCACCACGAAGCTGATTTGTGTAGCACTATATTGCTTTCGATTAGTAGTCAGATACCTCGTTGTTGTTCACATGTTTATCTTTCCAAGGAGAAGGGAGGGGAGGGGGAATTAGGGACATAAATGTGAGTCCTACCCAAGGTGAAATTAAGAGTAAGTGGCAGCACTGTACTTTGGACCAACTGATTTACCCCTTAATACACACAATGGATTTCTGTGTGGTGAAATGATGGGCTGTAAACACAACAGTGTCAAATAACTGCAGGGTTTTCACCTAAGTCCAGACTGAGCCTGGTTCAATGGGACAAAGACCTTGTAATTCTTTAGAAACTGAGAAAATCACATCCACGTGATGATGCATTAATTTTTTTTTACCACCCACCACATTCTTTCTCTGCGTATAGCTGCTTGCTTTTAAGGTCTGATTTTTTTTTACTTTCCTTCACTTCCCCCCAATTTAAACCTGTATTCGAGACAGTAAAGCTGAAGTAAATGAGACTCACATAAAAAACATG